TGTGTCAAATCTGTTCTTGTGATCAAGCACTTGCTGATGAAGATCAAGAATTACAGCCTTCAGTTTGGATTACAACTCAGTGTAAGGAAAACTAAAATCCTCACAACTAGACCAAATAGGTGACAACATGGTAAATGGAGAAAAGATTGAAGTTGTGAAGGATTTTGGTTTTTTTTTGCATTCTCAATCAATGCTTATGGAAGTAGCAGTCAGGAGATCAAACAACGCATTCCAGGGGGCAAAACTGCTACACATAGCCTCTTTAAAGTGTTGAAAAGTAAGGATGTTACTTTGAGGACTAAAGTGTGCCTGAACCAACCCATGGTATTTTCAATTGCCTTATACGCAAGTGAAAGTAAGCCGTTGAATAAAGAAGACTGAAGAAGAATTGATGCAGTTGAATTATAGTGCTGGCAAGAATATAAAAATACCATGGACTGCCAAAAGAACAAATAAATCTGTCTTGGCAAAAATACAACCAGAATGATCCTTAAAAGAAGGGTGGCGAGACCTCATACACTTTGGGCAAGTTGTCAAGAGAGACCAGTCCCCAGAGAAGGCCCTCATGCTTGGCGAAGTAGAGGGGCAGTGAAAAAGAGGAAGGCCCTCCACTAGGTGGATTGACAAACAGTGGTTGCAATAATGAGCTCAAGCATAAGAACAACTGTGAGCGTGGTAAAGGACTAGGCAGCATCTTGTTCTGTTGTACACAGCGTTGCTGAGTCAAAATTGACTCGATGGCATCTTACAATATCACAGAGCCCCTGTAGGGCAGAATAGAACTGCCTGCCTCTGTGGATGTCTGAGGCTGTGAATCTTTTTTGTTTTAATCTGTTGAATTATAAATTTATTTTATTTAGCTATACATTTATTAAGTATGAAATACATTTATAAATTTAAAATGAAATAAAAAATCTATTTGGTTCTTTTTTCCAATGCAAATCTATCTTATTTCTTGTTTTGTTTTATTAAATCATTTTATTGGTGCTCCTACAGCTCTTATCACAATCCATA